CACCAACTCATTGTACTGTAAAAAGGGCAAAGACATGACAACAGCCATGTCATCAGCAGTGTTACTGTAATCACATTACATTCTTCTGTAACACACCAATGTAATGTGTTACTGTCTGTAAGTTCCATAATTACATTACAGATACTATTCAGACAGTTATGTCATTATCTGCATTACATAAGTGCTTCAATTATCTGCAAAATGGGTGCATAGCAAAAAATCATCAAACACACAGACAACAGCGACGCTGTCCAGTGCACCCATGGAGACACTCTTCAGTCTGGGCAGTCTTGTGCTGACTGAGCTTGCGAGCGAGCGCCTCAGGTGAGTTTGTCTGAGTGTGTTTGGCCTGTCAAATTCAGGTTACATGCTGTTAAAACATGTTTTTACCTATTAAGTCTCTCATCATCTAAGGGTGTTAGGGAGGTCAGTCTCTATGTTGTTCTATGTACTGATGTATTATTTTGAGGCAATTAAGATTTGTAGGCACTAGGCAGTATAAGGAAGGGCAGCCTCTTTTATATATTTATATTTCCTTTTTTTTGGAGGTAGTTATTGCCTACTGAGTGCAATAAAGCCTTGCTCTTGCAAAACATTTTTAAGCACTATTTGGGCTGATTTTCTGCAACTTTGCTGTCAGCTTTTTGGTATTGCTGTGTTAAAGAATGAAAAAGAAAGACCTTTTGTATGTCCTCCTTGATAGGACAGAGATATGTGCTGATATGTAAGCATATGTAAGGTTTAATGTTCTGTTAGCCCTTTCTACACACAATAGGGCCCCTACTAAGTCCCGTCTTCATGCCGCCTTTGCATTTTTACACAGAACCAAACAACAGTGGAATCATACCTCTCCTGAAAGAAATTTTGAACAGCATGACAGGCGGGACATGTAACACAACAGCGACGCCCTCTAGTGTACATATGACATATGTGCCGGCAGCACTTAATAAACCTTTACAGTTTATTTACTTTATTAATCCCCTGAGGGGAAATTCAATGTTTTCACTCTTGCTTGTCAATTACACACAGGTCTGAAAGACACACACATGCACAAACTGGACCTATACATGCACAAAGTGGAGAGATGTCAGAGTGAGGGGGCTGCCCTTTGGTCAGGCGCCCCGAGCGGTTGGGGGGTTCGGTGCCTTGCTCAAGGGCACCTCGGCAGTGCCCAGGAGGTGAACTGGCACCTCTCCAGCCACCAGTCCACGCTCCATATTTTGGTCCGGACGGGGACTAGAACAGGCGACCCTCCGTTTCCCAACCCAAGTCCCTATGGACTGAGCTACTGCCGCCCCACAATGGCATTAATATGGCAGCAACAATCATGTACCATCTCTGTGATATGGTGGCTAATCTTGTCCTCTGTTTGGAGGATAAGGAGCTCCCAGACCTCACTGTTTTCCTAATTGGCAGACATTTTTGGCCACTGATTTGAGTTAAATAAGTAAAGTAATGCAATACTTATTTAAAAAGTAACATTGAATGTTTAGTTCATTGCTTTTTTTAAAATTATCAACCCCAGGACGTTTTTACAATTTTCTCATTCACATAATCAAACTATTTCTGACACACACCCACAAGCTGACACACACATAGGGTGCCAAGGACATCATACCTCCATGGACATCTTGTGGTGTCGGCCCTGCAGCAGAGTGGCCAGGTCTCGCAGTCGACTGTTCTCCTCCAGCAGAGTATGGTTCGCAGTGATGATGTCAGACTGGCTATCGTCTTCACATGCTGCCAATGAAGATCAAGACAGTTGTGCCAAATTATCTTAGGGCTAACAAGTGGTAAAAATACCTCGCTCACATTTATGTGCACCAACAACTTGGTAATGACATGTGAAACCATTAGTAACAGGGAATTAGTTTTAACACAGGATATAAAATGTGATGCAGGTGTTCCTGTTTGTGTGTCAATATGTTATCAATTATGAATGTGTCAGTAACAAGCACATCTCCACACTAACCTGCAGCCTGGACTTGTTTGCACATGTTGTCGATGCGGCTGTGCAGCCTGTCAAACACACAGACCAAGCAAGCGATGGCTTCCTTGCTGAACTGCATGCGGTCTTGCAGGTGCAGGGTGAGCTCCTCCTCGCTGCTGTGCTCCAGCGTAGTTAAGAAACCCTTGGCATTCTCACTTAGGGGAGCAGGGGGTGGTGTTGCATCTGAATATAGTGAGAGGCGGTCATGTACGAAGTTGGTTAAAATCAGCAGCTGATTACATGATCAAAAACACTATACTTCAACCTTCAGCTTGAAAATTGGAAATCATGTGTGCCGTCATTAAAACTTAAATCTTGGAAAGATATTTGAGATGGTACAGCTAACTTGACAGCTGAAAATGAGCATTTTGCAAGTTGTCATGACATTTAAAGCGTGCAGCATTGAACAAGGCAAATACAGATAAGGAAGTTATCACTGCTTTACAATAGCCTAAAATTCTACAAGAGTTCTGTCAGAAGAGTGTATCCAAAAAAAAGGAAGCAAAAACAGTTGTCCTCTACATACCTCCAATGTTTTTTATCATCTTTGAAACAACTTTAAGGTTCAGAAATATTGTTTCAGCCCTTTGCTTTACTCCATTTTCACAAGAGGTTTTATCACTTTAATAAAACACAAATCTAATCACCTTAAACAAACAATGTCTATCATACGTCACTAAAGGTATATATTGGCACATACTTGCGCTGTTATTTACACCTACTAGTGCACTTGACCGGTGTAGAAGATAGAAAATTATTGATTTGAAGCATTTTTGCAAAAGTTGTACAAACTTAGCAAAAAGTGTAAACGACAGTAGCAAAATAAGAGAAAGAATGGCTAATTTGAGTATCAAAGGGGAACTGATATTGAAACCTAATCTGAAGTCACACATGTAAAATCCACATTCTTTTAATAGACATAAGGTCAGATAATAGATTATCTGCTCAGATTATAGCAGTCCATAAATGCAGTCAGCGATGGAGACTTTTCAGGGACCAGCTGGGTCAAGAAAGTCACTACTTACCTGTTGCTGAGTCTGTTGGTGGCTCTGTGGGTGTCAACAACTCTTCTGACCCAGTAGGAGGAGGGGGCTGCTTCTGCTCTTCTTGACGATCTTCCTGATGCTCCTCCTGCTGCTGCTGCTGCTGCTGCTGCTCTGCCTGCTCTCCCTCGTTTGGGGCCTCTGGGAGTGGAGGTGGAGGCACGGCAGAGGTTGGTGATGCTAGGCTGACACCATCTTCCTCCATTGGTGTTGGTTCAGGGAGCGGGGGCGCTGGTGGGGCTTGGGAAGATGTCACCGGAGCATCTGGTTCAATACGTTTGCGTAGAACGTGCACATTCTCTTCCAACTGCAAAGGATTGAAAGAAGAGTTAATCCTCTCTCATGGATAGATATATTTCTGTATTCAGATAGTTCTAGTCCAAAAACTGAGTACAGCAGTTTGTGCGATCTTTTGATTTACATTACCAAGACACTTCCACAGAATGAGCACAATGCAAAACTCTGCTGATTGGCTACGTTTACAAGCACATAAACAAACTACATATAACTATATATGGTCAGGCTAAGGCAGACAGTTGAATAACATTTTAATGTGTTGCATTTATTATTGTTTAACGCCAAGTGGCTTTGACAGACTGAGACCCACCGATTTGGTGTTTACATGGACATTCCTGAAATCAACATTCAGCTCAAAATAGGTTATATTTAGGTTAAAACAATGTCATAAATGTGAAGAGGTACCTGTGACCAGTAGCGGTTGACAATCAACAGGGTGGTGTCATCAGTGGCCTGTCTCTTCTCCAGCTTCTCAATTTTCTCACGTAACTCATCCTCCATGGTCTGCCTCTGCTCCAAGCGCTCACATAGCTTCTTATTCTTGAACTGGAGGACCTTCATGTCCATTTCCTCCTGCACAGGACAAATGCAAACACCAAAGTGTGGACTGTCAGAGATTCTTAGTGTTCTTTGGAGAAAAATACTTAAGATTAGCTGGTGGAAGTTGTAGTAAACAGACTACAAATGGTGACTAATGGGAGTGAAAATCAGATGACTGACCGTAGAGGAGACTCCAGCTATGCGTATGGGCTCGATGAGAGTGGTGGTGGTCTTCTCCTCTTTTTTGCTCTTCTTCTCAGGTGGGCCAGGGGGGCTGTCCCCTCCTGAGGGACGTTTTCCTCCCCCAGCACCTGACATCTTTCCGTCCCCTGCAATAAATCAAACATGACATTAAATCTTTGCTGTGGTACAGCTTTAGGAAACTATAGATATGTTTGCAAATGGAGAACTCATTCATTTCATGACAGCTAGCAACGGGATTAGCCTTGCATTAAAAACGCAGGGGCCACTGATGATAAATTGGTCCGAATACTGCTCATCTGGAGTTCGTATGACAAAATGTGCCCCCGATCAGGTATACTAACTGTTACTGTATAAGCCGCTGCCTGAAAAGCTACAAACTAATTTTAATTTGGCATTTCTGCTAGGGAGTAACGAACATTAGCATGCTAGCTAACGCTAAAAAATGCTAATGCTAACGTTAATTCTTCGAGACCTAGTTAGCTAAACGGCGCTCTTTGTCCTACATATTAAATGGGTTGTGGTCGTCATTTGTATTCGCAGACTATCACTATACGTGTAAGACCGTCTGCAAAGAAACTTTGCATGCAAAGAAGCGTACAAACCGTTTTCTGTAAAATATCAACGGTACAAACCTTCGCACGGAGCAATTGAAAATGTAACTCAGTCAGTGCATCAAGAGAAGCTACAGGAAGTGACGACAACGTACTTCCCTATAGTAAATTTTTCATTTAATCAAGAATTTATTTAAAGAAAAAACAACGGATTAACTACATTAGTAGGACATCATGTATTAAAATTCAGTTACTTGGATTATTTTGTAACACTTCTAAAAGAACCATGAAAATTGTTACATTATTATTTACCACACTGCAACCTTCACTCCGGCCTCGTGGGGGCAGTACAGCCACATTGTGTAATAACAGCCTATAAGCTGTTTCGAGGAATGACCAGAATGTAAACAGTGCTCAAGTGCTAGCTAGCGGTTGTTAACATTATAGGTAGCTAACTTTAAGACTGTCGCCGCTGAATCGCCCACAGTTATGGCTTCACGATAGATACCTCGAGCTGTGATGGCATTTTAATTCTGTACTCTTTATTGCCGTCACCCGCTCCCTCTTATTGTTTGTAAGCGTACATGGTGAGTAGCTTGCTGTACGGTCAGTGAACCTGCCGCTGTAGCAAGGCCAAGTCAAACACAGCTAGCTAACTGTCGTGATGGATCAAGGGGACATTTCTAAATAACACTAAGAACAGTAGAGGAGAGCGAGAGATGTGTGTGTAGTGAGCAAATCCCCACAGTGTCCTGCTAACTAAAATTAAACTAAAGCCAAACAAAGCACTTCCTTGTCCGGAGTTAGCTTAGATATTAGTTCCTGTTAAAGACAGACCATGTAGCATTGTTGCAAAGTGAGATATGTGACTGACAGTGTGGTGTTATTATAGATTCATATGCTGTCACCATGACCAAAGACATCGTTGTTGGAGATGAACTACCAGACTGGGTGGGGGCCAAGGAGTTTTACCAGAAGTATGACCCCAAGGAGGTGATTGGCAGGTGAGTCCAGCAGCAAAATAACCTGAAATCTGAGCACAGTTTTATATTGGGATGTGTAAAAACTCATGCTGTATTCTGTATCAATGATCTCAGGGGTGTGAGCAGTGTGGTGCGCAGGTGTGTGCACAGACAGACAGGTCAGGAGCTGGCAGTGAAAATTATTGAGATCACAGCGGAGAAGATGACAGCCCAGCAGCTGGAGGAGGTGAAAACCTCCACGCTGAAGGAGATCCAAGTCCTCAACATGGTGAAGGGACACTCCTCAATCAGTACGTTGGATTTATGTTGAATACAGGACACTTAAATCTTCTGCTCTTGGAGATTAGAAAGTGTTGAAACATGTTAATGTTTTGTTGATTCCCTTTAGTCACTCTGATTGATTCCTATGAGTCCACAACCTTCATATTTTTGGTGTTTGACCTGTGAGTATTGCAACAAATAGCTCACATGCAACTGTCTCTGTATTTCTTCCCTGACATGTAAGTGAATCTCGTTTTTCTTTACAGCATGAGACGTGGAGAGCTGTTTGACTACCTCACAGAAAAAGTTACTTTGAGTGAGAAGGAAACCAGGTGAGCTCCACATCAACACAAGCTGGTGGCAGGTGTCACTCTGTAACTCTGTAAGGCCCAGCTTAAGCAAATCCTAAAATGGGCCTTATTGAAGGTTTCTACTTGTTTGTATGTGTTTTGGCCTCTCATATGCCAAGTTATGTATTATTTACATTTGGGCCGAACATTTTCAAGCTCCAACAAAAACTCAAGGCACTGTTATATTTACTGCGATGGAATACCTCACTCTCATTCACATATCACATTCCACCTGACTGCAAGTTGATCTTTTCATGGTATTGAAAATAAACTAATCCAGCAGTGTCCGTTCTAAACATGCCCGTTCAAAACGGCCTGTGTTATTGCTGTTTACAGCCTTCTTGAGAACTGCTGATACAAATAACTTCACACTTGACGCTGCACTTCCTTTGGTCTTGAGCAATACACCTGGGCCCCAAACAGCTTTAGAGTTACTTACAAAAAGTCCCCAAAACATTTTAAAAATATCCAGCTCAACAGTATAGTACTTACTGCTGCATAACTCGACTTCAGAGGAAAAACTTTGTACTACTACATCTACCTGGCAGTTACATGTTAATGGTTATATTCCAGATTCCGATCTAGTCATAAAGTAGTGTCATTAAAATATGATTAATTATTATTCAACTGTCCAGTATTATAATAATAGCATTGAAAGCTTTATCATGAACAGACATTAAGTAAATGTAAGTGCACATAATGTGCAGATAATGCCTCTCTTTCACTCTTTACTTTAAGTAAAAATTTGAATGCAGGTTCAAGTTGCAAGTTTTAAGTGCTTCCTCTTCCACTGCCAATATATACATTACCAGTTAGAGAAAGGGTGAAAAGTAAAGCAAGACGTGGGACTCCCATATAACTTAATCCGGCCCTGAGAAACACAGTCAAGTAGCGAGAACTTTGTGCAGAAGTAGTGAAATACACTTGGTGAGACATGCTCCACTCTCTACAGAGCCCTGATATCCTGCCCCTGCACAGAGCCAGAGAGCACTGTTCACTTGCTTATTCAAAGTTTATTTATATTGAACATGTTGCATGTCCAAATTGCACTAAATTCGACACTGCATGTCCTCAGCAATACATCTCCCAAGTGTATAGTAGATCGAATAAATGGTTCTCAAGATATTTAAATGTCACACTCACACATATGTACGGACAGAGATTCCTGCCTGGAAAAGAGATCAGATCCATTTAAAGTTTGAAGTGGTGATGTTAAACATGTTGTATTTTGTACAATCCCATTGCTATACAGGAGTATGATGCGAGCTCTTCTGGAGGCCGTGCAGTACCTCCACTCCCTCAACATCGTCCACCGGGACCTAAAACCTGAGAACATTCTCCTGGATGATCAGGGACACATCAAATTGTCCGACTTTGGTTTCTCAGTGCAGCTACAGCCTGGAGAGAAGCTCAGAGGTGCTGCAGTATAACAACAGCATTAATGATTTGTTAAGATAAGTAAATCAATTGTACAGACGGGTTAAAAGTGATCTGTTTTGTCTTTCATTCTGTTTAGAGCTCTGTGGGACACCTGGTTATTTGGCCCCTGAAATACTGAAATGTTCCATGGATGAAATGCACGCAGGCTATGGCCAAGAGGTCGATCTGTACGTCTTTCCTTTTGTCAGTAACATTTATCTGAAGTGAGAGTTAAATCTTATAAAAACATGGTCCTGGATTGTGTTTCTAATACTCGCTTACTTGTTTGGATGTGTGTGTCGGACAGCTGGGCGTGTGGCGTGATCCTTTTCACCTTACTGGCTGGCTCGCCACCATTCTGGCACCGTAAGCAGATGCTGATGCTGAGGATGATCATGGAGGGTCGCTATCAGTTCAGCTCACCAGAGTGGGATGACAGGTCTGACACCGTCAAAGATTTGGTGAGACGATATTTTGTCGACTGAGTTTAAATGTAAAAAATAATACGTATTCTCTGTTAGTTACACCCAGCTATAGAGTAAGATACAACAAATCAGCAGAAATAAATACACCCCTCATGGCAACGGCACTCCTTGATGGCAGTGGCCCCCCCAGCAGCATAATGCGCCATGTCACATCACAAAAACTGCTCAGGAATGTCCTGAGGAATGTGATGAAGAGCTTAAGGTGTCAACCTGGCCTTCAAATTTCCCAGATCACAATCTGGGGAGTGCCGTTGCCATGAGACAGAGTACTCGGTCTGCAACGTTGTGTGGGTGGGTTGGAGCATTGTCACAAGATGATGGAAGTTATTTACCTCACCTGTCAGTGGGTGTAATGTTATGGCTGATTGTTTGTTAGACAGCAGCATCTATACCATTACACCAGTCCTGATTTCAGTTGCTTTATTTTACAATTATGCTTGTGTCACTCAGATATCCAGGCTCCTGGTGGTGGATCCAGCTGCCCGTCTTACCACTGAGCAAGCTTTAGCACATTCCTTCTTCAGACAGTATCAGAGGGAGGACGTGCGTCTCTTTAGTCCCAGGAAGACATTTAGGGTGAGTCACAGCTTTTTTTGTGGCAGCTGATTTAAAATTTAGCCTTGAAGTAAACATCCATTCCCCATTCTCCCCTGCGTTCCTTTCCTGCCTCTCAGGTGCTGATAGTCACCGTGCTGGCCTGCATCAGGATGTACAGCCGTTACCGCAGGGCCCGTCCACTGACTCGGGAGGTGCTGGCCCGAGATCCTTACTCCCTCCGCGGTGTCCGCAAACTCATCGACGGCTGCGCCTTCCGCATCTACGGGCACTGGGTGAAGAAAGGGGAGCAGCAGAACCGAGCTGCTCTCTTTCAGAACACCGCCAAGATCATGCTGCTGGGCCTGGAGGACTTTGAAACATAAAAAGTCGACCTCATTCCTAACCATGTTGATTTTTATTTAAACATTTGCATGTGTTGTAACGGCAGTGTGTGTCTTGTCAAATTACTGTGTTTAATTTTAAGACGAGGGGTTCAGGGACCGGGAACGTTTGTTCGCCTTAATGCGCACCGTGCTTCTGCGAGCTGAAGATAAGCATGCACATCTTATCTCATCAGGCCTCTCATCCGAGTTTGCAGCTGTTTGAAACTCTTCTTGTCAGGTCATCATGTTTGCAGTGCCACTTCGCAGTAGAGGACACATTGCACAATCATTTGACATATAAGTACATAACATGTTTTTAGCATTTTACCTGTCGATGGTCAGTTTTAATGAGGAGAGAGTGTGTTTCTATGCACTGTGTGGCTGAAGTGGACATTAATGCACTGTGATTAATTATTTAATAGACAGTTAGATACACATAATGTAACACAGTTAAGATTTACAGATATTCCAGTGTTATAAATCAGCTCCAGAAGTCATGAAACATTCAAGTACAGTATTAGGAGTGTTTGTGGTATCCTGTAGCTGCCATGCATGCAGACATTCCTCTATAGGAAACCCACTTAGACTAACTGTGAAGACTACTTGTGACTGTATTTCCTGTCAAAACTAACCAACGCCATTCCCTACTCGGTTCATTCTTCCGTTTGTAAGTGGCAACTTTCCTGAAAGTGCCTCCCTGAGAAATGCAGACATGTACTGTATATGAAGATAAAAAGGTTTTATTGACAATAAACTAATATTTGAGTTTGATTTGTGGTAGTTTGTGTGAGTGCTTATTCCATTATTTTTTGGCCTTGTGGTTGGGCTGTGGAGTATTTAGTGCCCTGCTGTGTTGATCTGCAATGTCTTTCATTCGCTGATCCAGTTGTCTAGACACGAGTGTCATCTGCTCTCTGACCTCTTTCTCAATCAGTGTCTTCAGTTCTGACTTCAAACCTGAAAGTGAGGAAACGAAGCAGTTAACAACATCTGGGGTGCATTTGACTTAAAAAAAAATAAAAACAAAGTCCTTTTATGATTTGTGAGCCTACCAAGTTTGGCTCCCTCTGGCTCTTCACTGGATGCTTCCTGTGTTTGAGGTGAGCTGTCTGTCGTTGGTGCTGCTTCTGTTTCTTCTTCTATCACATTTTCAACATCTGGTGGAAGAATAGTTCTTAAAAGTATGAATAAATCTGGTTCCAGGTACTCGTAAAACTTTTTGATACTAAAACTGCTTGTAATTGTTACCTGGAACAGAAGCATCCTCCACGGTAGGTTCATCCTGCTCTGGGATCCCAGAGTAAGTCAAAGACAAGTCAAGTTTCACCTGTGAGAAAATAATACATGAATCAGAGCTTAAACTAACAATTATTTTCACTGTTGATTATTTTTTTCAATTAATCGGTGAGTTATTTGGTCTATAAGATGTCATAAAATGATGGAAAGTGTCAATCATTGTTTCCCCAGGCCCAGGATGACACCCTCAAATGTCTTTTTATGTACTCAACCCAAAGATATTCAGTTTACTGTCACAGAGGAATAAAGAGACCAGAAAATATTCCATTAAAAAGCTAGAAACCTGGACACTTATGCTGTGTTCTGATATCCGCTGGTAAGAAAACCATCACAAGACATTGGCTGCCTTCTGACCCCCCGCCCCACAATAGAAGACTGGACAGTTATAGTTAATTAAATATACATAATGGAAAAGTTACCGTCTCACTTTGCCTACAAATGAGTAGATTTACGAAGCTATGGTCAAACTGGATTCCAAATTTTTTGTTGTTGACAAATTAATAGATAGCCTTAAGGATCTTTGGTCTCCAAACCAACTTAATAATATTAATAATAATTAATATTATTAAGGTACTGAAATGTCTCCCAACTTGATAATGTATACCTTTGTCAGACGTCCCTTTTTCACAATGTAAAATAGTTTAAGAAAACTTTATACCCACAATACTCTTTGTATCTGAAATAGAAAAATATAATTCTTTTAATAAAAAAGCCATTAAGTGATAAGAAGCTAGAATCAGAAAAAAACAGAAACCAAATAATTGATTGTCAAATTAGTTTGTGATTAATTTAAAAGTTGACAACTAATCAATTAAGTGCTGCAGCTCTAATGCAGAATGTTACTCATTATTCTCTCTAGATATATTGCCACAGGACTGAAATCAAGTATAACAAGAATAAATGATTGCAGAAGTTGTGTGAAACAATTTGTGCAGAATAGCTAATTTCCGATTCTTACCTGTGGGGTGAAAATATATTTGTAGAGTTTGTAGTGTCTCACATAGTTGTTATGGATGTACTTTAAGATGCAGTTCACTTCCTCAGAGCTGAAGAGGCTGATACTAAAGGGAGGTCGCTGTCATGGGCAAACAGAAATATCACATGCGTGAAAATGTATGAGTTTTAAAATGAAATTATGACTAAAAATCTTAAGTATGTTTTACAGACCCTGACTGAGTGACAGAGAAGTAGCTCCTTGCAGTATTGGAAACACTGCTCTATATTGTTGAGTGGAGTTTCTGCAAGACAGGATTTTAAACACTTTCCATGTACAGTTAAGGAACATTTAAATGAATTATCTCAAGTGTTAGCTGCAGAGGTAGCCCCTACTTTGATTTTGCACGTCACCCATGTTGAAAGCTGGTGTCATGTCACACAGCAGTGATAATAATATGACATACCTGTGTTAGCCTCATGGACGGATTTGATGATGGACAACAGAGCAGACGTCTGTTCCTTTTTGAAGCTGCGCTCTCTGCAGAAAAGCACTGTCTGCACATACAACTCCAGCAGGACTCCTCTTTTTGGTTCAGGGAGGTCAACTCCAAACACAGTGCATAAAGCCCTGTCACAGAGGAGGACAAGTCTGACAGAAACCTGTTTTAGTGTTGTGTGTGTGTGTGTGTGTGTGTGTGTGTGTGTGTGTGTGTGTGGTTGTGTTTGAATACATAGATGTGTGTCTGGTCATAAACAGGAGCAGAAACCTCTCCAGGTCAGGAATGAACTGCATTTTGTCGATCTCCTCCATGTCATGGTAGCTTACATCTGTCCTGGAAACACACAGGGGATGGATTCAGGGTTATGCTGTCATGCACAGTGTGAGTAAAGCAGCAAGCTGTTAAAATAAATATATAATGTGGATTGTACACACAGCTCTCACCATAGCATCAATTTAGCTGTCAGGGCCTGCGGTACCTACATAACAAGACACAGCATTACACGGTAAAACTAAGGAGCAGGCACTAAACACCTACGTTATCTAACGTTATAGCTACAGTAAATCAAACTAAACATGAGGAACCTACCTTTATTTTGGTATCCATGTCGTCTTTAGCTGAATTATAAATTACAAATTAGTTATCAATTTGTATTTTTTTTATCATGTAAAAGTAACTGGTGAGACGTTTCATTGACAAAAACAAGCTCTTTTCATTACTGAGTTTGGCTGCCTCGCTGTATCCTAGCAACGTGTTTCCCCCCCCCCCCCCCCCTTTTTTTTTTCTATTTCCGGTTTAGCGCGTTTTACAGAATACCGTCCAGCATCCGGATAAAATAAAAAAAAAATAAAATAAAATAAACAATAACAGTGTAAAAAATTAGGAATTGGGAAACGTATAATGATCAAAATATTATAGAAATAATCAAATATTTTTTGAAAACTAGTCCCATCTTTCCTACATTCATAATATGTGAAATGCTGTAAAACTGGAAAGGCCCTATGTCTGTATGAATATCAGTGTACCTTAATTCCAGAATGACCACTTGTTTTTGTTAATTTCATTTTATTTGTATTTATTCGTCATTATTAACAATTTATGCTTTGCAGTTTAGCTCAGCTACAGTAATATTGTAACCTGTAATGTCATATGACATGCCTTTTTGATTGTCAATAAAATTCTTTTTTTTAAAGTGAAAATATAAAAACCTGTGTTGTCATATACATAGACCCAATTTAGTCCACTGTTTTTGATAAAAGCACACAATTTATTATTATTATTAAAACTCTGTTGAAAAACCTAAAACTCAGATGACAATACTGAAACTACACACATAAAATATATATTAATTAACTAACCTTTAGACCAAATTATATAATAAAATATAGTAGAACAAGAAAAAGAAATTAGAAATTCCAGTAATTTATGAGGAGTCAGCATCATTCATAAATAGTTTATTTTCATTTCATTTGGCAGTCAAAATTTGTGCTTTTAGGTCATCAGTTACCTCTACTTTTACTATAACATAGGCTACAGCTATTACCACGACAAGACCATCATTATTACTATGAATGAATGAATTAATTAAATAATTAATTTTTTATTACTGTGTCATGCAAACAACGGGCAAATCATCCAAGCCAGGACCAGAGTCCAGTGTAGGCCTACATGTTTTCAGACAATATTAAGAAAAAAATAATGATAATATTCTGCACCTATAGACTTCTGTATCACCACTACTGGTAGCCTAGACTACAGCGGTACATTAACTTATTGTAGCCTATACTAGCCTACTATTATCACAACCTTACTTTACTTAACTCCAGGTACTAGGCCTAGCAATGGGACCAAACATACTGTAAGTAAACTTATTTGTAGTGTGACACAAAAGTCTCACTAGACTACTTATTTACTACTTATTTAAGTACATATAAATAGGTAAAAAAAATTTCTGGGTAGCCCTGCACTAAAATGATCAACTTCTTATAGTAATATTAACAAAACATTTTATTTATAGACACCTTTTAAGACACTCAAGGTCACCTTACAGGCAAGGATAGAGAAAATAACAGCAGATTGATAAAGTCAACGAGATAAGGAATAAAGTAACGTAAAAAATAAATAATAATAACATAAATAAATATTCAGCAAAACAATTCTGTGTAAATTGTAGATGTGTGTAGCTAGACAAATGGGAGGCAAACTGAACAGGCTGTGTGTTTTACCTCAGAATGATAATTATGGAAGAAGGGACAGTGCTGGCTGTGATTGCTTGTTCCTCGTCACATGACAGGCTTTGCGCGCTGCTGCCTTCCAAAAGTTGAACTTTCTTTCTTTTTAACTTTTCTTTTTTTACCTAAAATAGGTGCTCAGGAATGTGTGCGTGTCTACATTGAAAACAATGAATTGGAGGGCGGAAAAAATGCAGCATGTGTTCGGCCCCCTATATATTTAGAACATGTGTATTTTCCCCTCACGCCAATCAAAAAACACAAAAGTAACAGTAGACTTTTATTTTGAGGCACAAATTGGTGTATAATCTTTCTGGCAGGGGACCCCGAACCCCATAGCCTATGTGTCCCCCCTAATGTTGAAACCACACCTACGCCCTTGTGCATACACAATACTAGCCCACTACTAGGCTGATGAAAAACTGATGTGAGGATGCTATCACTAATAATAAATAATACTTTATAATAATAAACTACAATAAATAATGCAACTAAACTAACTTTTTAGAACCCCTCACTAAATGAGTTGAATGTAATAAGTGAGTAAAAAAAAAGAAAAAAACATCCATCCTGCTGACAAACATGAATGAACTAAAACGGTGTGAAATTAGTGCAAATGCTACAAACGTAAACAGACAAACAGATATTATTGACATAAATAATGCTGTTTTCTGATTTAAGAGTTGTTTTTAATGTCACATCTCTCCGTCGATGCTGCATGACAGCCGTATCCATGGCAACGAGATAAACCTGGCGGAGCGTCCCGCTGATAACCAACGTCTGTTTTTGTTTTTGGTCTCTGGGATGTTTTAGGTTAATTTAATGGTGCTATAGGGGATTTGTTTGCACAGTGAGGCACGTTTGGGTGAAACCCTGAAGCTTTAGGCGAATTTGCGGTGAGTACTGCGGCGTCCGTGTTTGTTTACGCCCGGGTAAGTGATGCAGAGTGCAGACTGCTGGCTGTGAGGTACATGGAGTGACAGGAGCAGCAGGTGATCACCTTCCTGTTTCTCTCGTCTCACGTTTCAGCTGTAACATTAGGCCTCAGCATCTCCATGAAGCAGCCGTGGAAAGCCTGCTTTGCCCCCGAGACTGCTTGTCCGCACTGACTGAGCTGTGCAGTGCAGTTTAAGAACATTATCCCCTTTTAATCCACTTTGCCTTCTGCTACATGCAGGTGGATAGACTGTCAGATGGAGCAGGGTGCCACAATCAGACACCCGTGTCCATGTGTAATTGCTCTTCTATTTTGGAAACTGAACCATTTCTCACATTGAACTTTGGTCCTGGATTTCATCTGTTTTTGGTTTCTTTGGGGTTTTTTTAAGTGGGCCCATCTGTATTCTTAGTGATTGTTATCAACAGTGAGTCTTTAATTCAGACATGGAGGACCCTGATATGCGACAACAGAAGCTGGACAATCAGGTAAATAAATGAGAATTATGTAACTACTTAATATCAAGCATACATTACATAACCCAGGTATGTTTTGGTTTACTTTAAACTGGTATAAGAATTAAAATGTGCCTCAAATAACCTACAAATAGCAGTTATTTTTACATTGAGTAGATTTTGGCTGTGTTTCTGTGTCAGAAACACATTTACAATAAATAGGCCCATAATATTTATCATAAAAACAGGAACGTATTCCTTGACAAGCGAACAAGTGGATAAAATTGAGGCAGAGCTTTGCAAATAAATAAAGCTTTCTTGAGTCTCATGAGGTCATACCTGTGTCAGAACCACCTGCTGTTTGGAGCCACTGCTCATCTTAAAGTCCTGGTCTGTACACAGTATGTGAGCTACTGGCTTTAAATCAGTAAAGTACTACATAAATACCTTATATCAGAAAAAAAACAGCACATAGTCAGTAGTAGAAGTACAAATACTAACTAAAAGAAGCTGTGGTAACCTAATAGTAGTTTTGGAATAGCAGTAAACAGTAACAATGATGTACCTGCATTTAAAATCTTGCTGAATTTAGCTGAATATAGTGAATACAGTGGACAATTTGCTATCTAGAATTTATGAAAATACTACAACCATTGTAAGTATTATTAGCCTACAAGTAATTATCCAAATAAAGTTAAAGAAAAAGGTTATCTGGTTTCTTTCTTGGTTAAATAATACAATACAATGTTATAATTCTGACGTTAAGACATAGCATACATAAGCTTCATAATACCAATGGTGTTTAACTCTGTTTCTTCTGTAGTTGTCATCATATGTGATATAAAAAAAAGCAGCAGTACCCTCAAATATAATGAAATGACACACTCTTGTACAGCTTATCACCTTACCAACAATATGTACTGTAGAAAAGTATGGGTAAAAACAATGATCTGAAGGTGAAAAGGTCAAAAGTGAGAGAATAATGCACATTAAAGGTGCAGTCAGCTATTCTGATCCATATCAACAATGTTTCTCCAGAATCGCTGACTCCACCTTTAAAGCCCAGTTCAGACCAAAGATTTGCAACAAGATGAAAACATTTTTAAAATATTGCTGGAAAACTTTGCAGCAGTGTGAACTGACCCAATTCAAGCCAGCTGATGGTGTCACCTGCGACTCAGTGAGTCAAGTCTCCAGCAGCAGGTTGTAGAGCGTAAGGCTAGTCACCTATTTCAACAGCTGTGGCATTCTCAGACAACAGCCCTCTATGCCCGCCAAGCATGAGTCCATCTCATTTACATTCCCATGGCAGGTAACACGTATGCCAGTCTCTGTCCTCACGTTATGTCCATGTCGGGTGGTGGGTCGCTGCTGTTGCTTCCTTTACTTATGTCACATACACATAGCCAACTCATTGACTGGTTAAATGGTGCTAACTATTTTAAATTATTGTGGCATATTTATTATGAATACGGCCCACCTGAAGCTCAGGTCGCTCTGTTTATGTTTGCACCGTTTCATCATCACTACTAGAAATATGTAGCGAGTATCTCACTGTTCATATTTTTAAAAGTTATAAATTACATTCACCTACAAAATAAGCCTGAAAAGCTGGAAATCAGAACGACAGTACAGAGAGTTGTTGCTATGAAGACAATATACCATCTTATCTGGATGCCTTGCTGTTAACTGTCAGGATCGCAAGTTCCAACTTATCGTCACTAATCTTTGGTCTGAACTGGACTTTCGTCATTACTGCATAGACCCAGATAAGAAGCAGTTTTTATCTGTAGTTGTATCCCCACATATAAGCATTGAGTTGTCAGTTTGAATGCAGTCTCATTTCTCCCACAGCGAACCCTTTTGATGAAAAAACAGCAAAAGAAGAGGGCTGATACTCAGATGGTGGTGGCCAATCGGGATGTTCGCCAAAAGAACCGAAAGCACAAAGCCACTCACTCTGATGAAACACCTCTGTTGATCAGCCAATCCCTGAGCAGCACTTCCCTGACTGGTTAGTATTACAATCATTTATTATTCTGTGTAGCATGGACCACTGAACGCATCTGAACATGCTCCCCCTGGCACCCCCACTCCTGCAGTCCATGCTATGAAGCATTTTTTTTTAAATATAAAATATAATGTCATTGCATGATGCAATTATGTTCTGTCTCTTAAATTATGTTCTGTTTGTTTTTCTTGGAGATCAAGTTGAACATGCCCATGATAACCCACTGGATGAAATCACATTAGGTGAATGCAATATGACAGCAAGCGCGACGTTAGATGAGATGCCTTCAGAGAATCCCGTTACTCCAAAGACGATGAACTTGGAGGTTGACAAAGAGCCCGAGGTGAAGTGTGAAGTGGAAAATGATGCTCAGGTGGAGGGGAAAAAGCCAAAGAAGAAAGAAGGGAAAAAAGAGAAAGCCAAACGTAAGAACATGAAAGCAGAATATTTTATTCTAATGGAAAAAAAATTGTATCTGTGTGTGTGCAAATTACTTGCTCAGTTTTGAGGATTCAAATAGGCCTACTGTAGTATGTATCAAAGAGTATGTACACACTCATTTTGGGTCATTATGGTACGTGTCAATTTCTCTTCCATGACTGCTGACCAACAAAGAAAACATACAAGCCACACCCTCCTACAACACCGCCGCCTTCACTCCTTGGTCCAGATATGAAAATGCTAAGTTAAAAGGGAGGCTGCTATGGTTAAGGTTAGAGTATGGGCAAGGGTTACATCTTGTTGCTTATAAGGTCAATAGTGTCTTCATATATAATGAATTATAAAGTAGATTATTGCTCCTTATTGCTATGTTTGGCCTCATATTCATTCACTGCAACATCGCGTGCAGCAGGGCTCAAATAAGGGATGCATTGGTGAACCTTCTTGTACTGGTGGTGGGTATGGTTTGTAGGGCTCTATCGTGTAAGCTCCATGCAGAATGTGGCTGCAGCTATACACGTCTCCTATAACAGCATAAACATTTCCTGGCTGCACCTGACTGGAAGAGCAACACTTTGACTCGTGGGCTGTCTGCTCCCAGACGTCAAACCGGGCCAACAGGATGCTTCATTTGGAAACTTTTTCCTTGTATTATGAAAATAATTTACCAGAATATGTTTCTGAAAACACTTGGGGAGAGAAATAAGCAATGCAGTTGCTGATTTTGTCCACATATTAGACTGACAACAATTAGATTAAAAGTTTTTCGGGAGTTTTCAGAGGTGGCGAGTTGCACTGCCGCTGATTCATATAAAGTAGCCTACACCTCAGTGTCGTGCAAATATGAAGCAGTCAACGTGATGCCCCATCTCTTGAAACGCAACACAATCAGCATGTTTACATGACATTACAGAAATTCAATTTATTGTGTTAGTCTGACTAAAACTGCACTTAATCGAATTTCTCAAAGTCAGACTAACACACCCAGTTAATGCAATTGGGGGTTGAATTACTCCTGCATGTATGAGGTCACAATTTCCACCCTAGGCTTTGACCCAGAAGTTGAAAGCATTGAATGTTTAACAGAAGAAGAAGAAGCCGGTAACAACATTGTGAAATCTACATCCAGAGGCATGCATTTTTGGACCGACAAGGAGACACAGTTAATGCTGCATCAGCTGAAAGAGTTAAATATATTAAAAGACATTGATGGGAGGAAAACACAGAATGGCAACCTGTTCAAAAAAGTGGCAGAAGAGCCGGACGATGCTTGATTATTTAGTCTGTGACGTAATAGCTCAACCAGAAAAAGGTCCAATACTAACAAGCTGAAAGGGGGTAGGTAGTCGAATTAAATGGCCTAGTCGAGCTATACCTGTAGCTTGATTTAACTGTGCATGTAAACATACTGAGTGCTACCAGAATGCATTGCACGGCTGCTTACATAGACAATAAACGGGAAGTGTGGAAATAATGGATGCTGTTGACACATACCATCAGTGGTCTGTGACTCTACACGTTTGTGTATGTTCTTTGTATTTATGCAAGCACGTGTAAAGCTGGGAACGACTTCTCTTTTATAAATGACACATCAGAAACTCGCTGCTTTGCTTTCCATCAGAGGCGGAGCAGAATGATGAAAAGGAGAAAGACAAGGAGAAAAAGGAGAAAAAAACAAAGAAGAAAGACAAAGCGAAAGAATCTGAAGACCCACAAAAGACAAACAAGACCACCAAACAAGAGCGTAAAAGTAACAAGTTCAATTTATCTTTAATATATCAGCACTCTTTTAAAGTCACAGCTTTTACAACATTCAAGAGTCTCTTCTTTTGCAGAGAAACACTTGCAGGAGGCTTCAACCCAGGAAACAGAGTCAGTGGTGGAAGAAGCAAGTCCAAAGAAGAATAAATGTGATGAAAGTGATGATGAAGAGGATGACGTGTCCCAGAAGCCTGTCCCTCAGACACCTAAGAGGAAAAAACAACTGGACACATGTGAGCAATAATCTTGCCCTGTGCATTTTACGAGTAACAATACAACAAAGCTGGTGTAAAGCATATATTTGCATGTGTGGTCTCCACAGCCAGGTGCCAAATAAGTGAGGAGAGCAAAGACGAGGACGTCCAGGAAAAGGAGAAAAAAGAAAAAAAGACAAAGAAATCAGAGAAAACTACGCCGAGTCTCGCTTCCCTCAACTCCAACTACAGGGAGTGTTCATCCTCAGGCAGTGAATCCAATGAAAGAGTGAGTTACTACCAGTCAAACTGTTTCTTGTTTTGTCAAAGCAAAATAGGCGAGTACGACGCATGGCCAAATCATTCTCACTCTCTTTCTCATTTCAGCCAACATCTCCATTGTCAGTGGAGGACCTTGAGAAGTTTGCTGTGCGTCCAGCCCCCAGAGATGTGACAATCCAGTGTAGGGTCACCAGGGACAGGAGAGGCATGGAGAAGGGCATCTATCCGACTTACTACCTCCACATGGAGAAGGAGGATGGCAAAAGGGTTGGCACTTCTGCAGTCTGAACCCAATCATTGTGCACATAGATTTTTAGACATGATCGTGTTTTCTTGAGCTATCATAGCCTACTTCTATTGAAGTCTGTCTTAAATATATGTTTCCCGTTGTGCCATCTGCAAGGTGTTTCTAATGGCAGGAAGAAAAAGGAAGAAGTGCAAAACATCCAACTATCTCATCTCCACTGACCCGACAAACCTGTCCAGAGATACAAACTGCTACATAGGAAAACTAAGGTATGACTCTTAGATTTTTACCTTGTGAAAGAACACTAAACGTTTCTTTGACGACACTTGTTAAGGCTCCAATTTCATGTTGTCAGTCAAGTTTGCAAAAACCCCTTCAGGTAATATTTCAAAATGCATTGTAAGTAAGTGGCTAAACCTGCACTTGAGGCATTTATTTTGGCAGACATTCTTACTTGTCATAGCAGGAAAAGAACTGGTGTAAGTAATAACACTAAAAATGTTCAGTTCGAGTATCTCAGTAAGCCCCACCACTGAGCCAGAATGCGTAACACCAGTGCCATGGCACTAAAACACCTGAAATGGAGATGAGCCTATGCTGGCGATTTCCCTGCTATGACATGTCAAAATATCTGCCATGAAAAAGGACTCCTGATTACAGAAACTTTAACAGCCATGATTCAAACATTATATTTTCTGTTTTCCTGTGATAACAAGTTAATTTTATCTGCTTTATCGAGATCAATAGGTTATGTCATTATGTCGAAATAACATGTTTTTACCAATATAACAGTATGTTCGAGATCTTGGGATCTTAAGATAATGGCATGATTTGAGATAACAAGGAAACAATGTTTTGTAAATTAAACGTAGTAGGCCTAGACCATTGTGTGTCAAGATTTCCACCACACTTGACACACCATGCTGACTGCTTTGATAGTGTCACCAATTAAGCTGAGGCGATGGTAAACATCCCCACTGGAAGCGAGACTTGAGCAGTACATTAACGCCCTGTCATCCAGTCCACACTTATTTCACCGTCTGTAAACATCTAGATAGTGCTAACCTTCACCAGGCTGACTGACAGCAGAAATCTACAGAACCAAAACAGTTTTTATGTCAGCTCCATGTGATGAAATCAGCAGTGTTGTCTGATTTTATTTCCTGCCCACCGTAGTGATTGAGGGGAATCCTTCTGTAGTGAAAGAGGCAAACTCACAGACTCTTGATCAATCGGTGTAGATATGGTTAATAAATTCAAAACACAGACAGATTTGTGTAATTGAAACAGCTGTCCATGCAGATTACATTTCACTAAACACAACAAAAATAGACTTAAAGCATAAAAAAATCATGGGGGGCTCTGTGAGACACGCCTGAGTTAAGTGTGGATTGATTGATTTAATAAAAAGTATGTCTGTTTCAGGGGATGCACAAGTAGTCAAAAACATTTCTAAAAACGCTTTAAGTGAGTTTTGGCCATTACATGGCACACAATAATATGTAAATTATTTGTAACAGCAAGGCATAAAGCAAGTTTAGTCTGTGTCAGGCCTTGATTGAAGAGAAATGTGATGCAGTGAAGATTATGTTCTTGTTAATCTGACATTACTATGCAGAATGCAATGGTTCCTGCAATGTTTTAGACCTTATATCTCTATATCTTGTTATCTGGAGAAGACAAAATTTTGTTATATCTCAAGACAATGAACCTGTAATCTCAGGAAAACAACATTTGTTATTTCCACATAACGATATATATAACTTTTGATCTTGAGAAAATAAATAAAATTAACTTATCATGTGAAAAACAGAGGAAATAAAATGTATAAATCCATGGATGTTCATTGCTTCCGTACTGGATGGATTTCTATCCCATCAACTCCTTAATTGCATTCATCGATCATCCCAGGCGTAAACTGGACAATTTTCCCTTTTTTAATTAATTTTTTATTTGGCATTTTGGAATATCCCCTTTGATTTATGGAAGCAATCATTTTATATGGAAGTGAATGCAGCAGCCCATTGTTTTTTTATGACAAAGTTGACATTTTCTTCTCTCAACTGATCGACGATTTATCTAATCAGACAAATTTGTTTCAGGTCCAATGTTCTTGGTACAAAGTTCACAGTCTATGATGGAGGTGAGAACCCTGAGAAAAAGCCCTTCGTCAAAGAGTGTGAATCAGTGCGGCAAGAGCTGGCAGCAATTTGCTATGTGAGTCCAAACTTGACTCTACACACTCCAACACCCAACTTAACTAAGCATATGCAGGGATGCAGTCTGTAATATGATTGGTTGTTATGTTCCAGGAGACCAATGTGCTGGGATTTAAGGGTCCCAGGAAAATGACAGTAGTCATCCCAGGCATGTTGGAGAACGATGAAAGAGTGTCCATTCGTCCAAAAAATGTATGTTTAAAACATATCGTCAATATTTAAAACCTGAGATGGTGCAGATTAAGTGTTGGAAAAACTGAAATGTTATCTTATTATAGGAACTTGAGACTCTACTGATCCGCCATGCAAACAACAATACAGACAAACTGGTCACACTGGTGAACAAATCCCCGAGCTGGAATGAACAGACTCAGTCATATGTGCTTAACTTCCACGGACGTGTCACCCAAGCCTCCGTCAAGAACTTCCAGATCATCCACCCTGACAACGGTAGGATCTGACTGTCTTTTTCTCTCATTAAGCAATAGGAAAATGTCCGTCTTGTCTTTATTCCTAACCTCACCGTCACATGTCGCCTCTCTTTCTCCACCCCCTGCTGCTGTCTTTTCCAGAGGATTACATAGTGATGCAGTTTGGCCGTGTAGCAGAGGACGTCTTCTCCATGGATTATAGTTTCCCCATGTGTGCCCTGCAAGCCTTTGCCATCACCCTTTCGTCCTTCGATGGTAAACTGGCTTGTGAGTGACCCATGCTGGTATGCCTCAAGTGCTCAGAAACTTACAGATTAAAGCTACAGTTCATAACTTTCATGAAAATAAGTGTCATATTTGTTGAATCTGAGTTCAAGTATCTCGGGGTCTTGATCAGGAGTGAGGGTAGAATAGAGTGTGAGATGAATCGATGATTTGGCAAGGCCTCTGCAGTGCTGCGGGCGCTGTGCTGGACTGTTGTGGCGAAGAGAAAGCTGAGCCAGAAGGCAAAGCTTTCGATTTACTGGTCCATGTATGTCCCAACCCTCACCTATGGTCATGAGCTCTAGAATTTGTTTCCTCAGGAGGGTGGCTGGGCTCAGCCTTGGAGATAAAAATGAGGAGCTTGGACATCCTGAGGGAGCTCGGAGTAGAGCCGCTGCTCCTTTGCATCGAAAGGGGTCAGTTGAGGTGGTTTGGGCATCTGATCAGGATGCCTCCTGGGCACCTCCTGTTAGAGGTGTTCTGGACACCTCCAACTGGTAGGAGGCCCCGGGGCAGACCCAGAACATGCTGGAGGGATTACATATCTCACCTGGAGTGGGAAAGTCTTGGGTTCCCCAGGAGAAGCTGGAAATCGTTGTTGGGGAGACAGACGTCTGGGGTGCTTTGATCAGCCTGCTGCCCCCGTGACCTGGCTTCGGATAAGCGGTTGAAAATGGATGGATGAATGTCACTATATTCTAAAAAATGTACAGGAGACAGATAATCTGAAAAAAAATCTACCACAGCGCACCAAAAACAACCAGTCAGAGCTGAGGAGTCTCCAACACAACTGCCAGTCACTTTTTGAATTGCAGTTAGACTGTCAAATTATGCAGCGCTGATGAAATATAAACCAAGATTTGCTTACTGTATTGCTTATTTCTTGCCTCAGATGTCTTCAGAAACATATTTTAGTGTACTGTTTGGCTGTTATGTAAGAATTTGTGAACAGGAAGTGGGCATCTTACTGTTTCCTATATTGTAAAAACAAAGGCTAAAAATACTGAGATCAAATGGTAAAACTAAGCAGTGCTGATCAAAAATGATTCAAGTTACTGTACATCCTATTTCTGGCCTCAAATGTTTTCAGAAACATATTTTGTGTACTGTTTAGCTGTAAAATGAGAAATTTGTGACTTGTTGGAAACAACTGACTGATGTACCAAGAACCGACCAGCCGGACCAACTTTCACAGCTAAACAGTACACTAAAGTATGTTTCTAAAAACATTTGAGGTGAGAAACAGGCAATGCAGTTACAAAATCTTGATGCTTTTTTGATCAGTTCTGCCTAGTTTGACAATTTGACCACAGTTCACAAGCCGTGAGTGACAGCTGCATAAGAGACTCCTCAGCTCTGACTGGTTGTTTCTGTCCATGTGCAGTAAGGCCATAAAAAGAGCTACAAGGCAATAGAGCAGGGTGGTTTTTTTTCACATATTATCTGTCTCAGGTGTGTTTCGGTTTCAGCAAATATGAAAAAAGCTCAATTTTCGTAAAAGTTACCAACTACAGCTTTGAGTCTGAACTTACACCCATAATTTTGTGCAGGGTCATTTTTCATGTTTTGTATCCTGGTGCACTGTAACACATTGTACACACTAAATATAGAAAAACATGCCACGGATTTAGACTTCAGAGGATACTTGTTTTATAGCTCCAGTATTATTTTACAACAGATTTTATATTGAAGTGGAATAAGTTACAAAAGTTAACAGTCTTTCTTTTTATATTTCCCAGCTGTGCAAAGGACTTGTGCAATTTATGTGCAATATTGAGAACAACTGTGTTAATATAACCAGTGAATTATTAAATCATGATAATGCAAGGTTTGCGTGTCAATGGTTTTTATTTTAACACAAAGTGTCTTCTTGGTAAATTTTAATATTTTGATTGGTAGATTTTTTTACCCCCCAAAACCTTGACAACAAGTTTACGCACCCACAACCACACCCTCAGATCCTCATCGGTGAGATTACATGTTAATTCAAGCCAAACGTGACGTCTATAAGTGTTTGCTATCAGCTTCAGGGTCTTTATCACGAAGAAGGAAACATTATCAAAGTTAAAAAACTGAAAAAAGCACTCATATCAGATGTGACAGAAAACTGCAACAAGTTGCAGATAGAGCCAAAACATATCAGGGTTTCTGCTCTTGCACAATATTAAGACTTGAAAAATATTTTCACCTCACAACAGCTTCATTGCTGATCTCAGGCACGTTTTCAACTCAAGTTAACACTGCTTCACATGAGGGGGACAGAAGGTCGTTTAGGTTTCTGCAAATAAAAATAGACCTCCTTTATGCTCTGTGGTGAAGCAAGGTGATCAGAAGTGCGCTGATATTTTGGAAAGCAAAAAGTCAAATTAAACTGAAACCATTGGTATTACGTTGACATGACTATCTGTGCGTAACATGCTGTTTACTTGTTTCCTGTTCAAGTGCTCTTTGAAACAAGTTATATATAAATATAGAAAACTTAACTTGCAACAAGAGCAACAAGTGATGAAGCTGACACGCTAACAACACCTTGCACGCTCGGACCACGGATTGACAGCCTTGTAAATCCATTTACAAATCATGTTTTCACCAAATTAGACTGAAAAAACTTGAACTGTCATACAGGGTCAAGCTTGCTGACTTCCTCTTGATTTACTGCAAATAACTTCATGCACTTTGATCAACCTCGCGCAGAGAGACACAGCGTGCTGGTGTGTTAGTTATCACTTTTAAATCGACAAAATCATGAACCTCAGAGGAAGACACTGTCAGCTTTTATCTTTTAGAGAATCAACACAACACACAAGCAACATTCAGCTGATCTGCTGTCACAGCTCTGCACATTGCACAACACTCCTGTGAGTTGCACAATAATTCATATATTCCAATTCCAGGTTACTTAGAGAATCAGCAATATGTTTTGTCCTACACACATGACTAATTACATGACATCAAGTCATTTAAGTCACCAATAAAGCACGTCAGCATGAAATGAATCTTAGCATGTTGGTATCTGAGTGCATACGTAACTAAGAGTGAACGATCCACAAACATAAACTGAATTCCTTGAGATACGTCTAGCTCAGTGCCACAGCTGCAAATATTAAGATAATATACATTCATGTAAGTCACTTTTGTTCGTGTAAAGCAAACATTCTGTGGGTCCACAAAATCAGGCTCCTGTTCATTGTCTATGGGGCAACTTTAGAATTTATACCCTATGACATCACAAGTTTGAGACTTAATTGTCTGGTCTCTGGCTTAGAGAGAACTGAATTTTCCTAGGCCATGGAAATAACATATTGGAATTCTTCATTTAGGTGGTGTCCCCTGTTAAAGATGTGTTTGTGAGATCAGTGCATACACATATGGCCACTTGGAGCACTTTATTTTTGCGAGAAGTACTTACAGTTTGCTTTTTAAAAAGGTCTCTAATGTGATATAAGGACATTTAAATGTAACTGTTCATTAAGTATAAAGAATGATAGTTGGTGTTTGACGGATGAAAATATATTGTCCTGAGAATAACTACTGTAAAGAACAAGAAGAATTTAAGCAGAAATCAATCAAGTGGGTAATATCCCATTTCATATGAATTAGTTCCATTTTGAATTTGTGTGACTTACGGAATTTAGTGTTCAGCAGACCTTTTGTTGACTCTATTAGTTGGGTGGTAATAACAAACACATAGTACAGGAGTATTTGTTGACAAACGTTTGCTTTTAGAGCTCAAGAGAGAGAGAGAGACGTTATGTTTGTTTGCATTCGCATTGTTGTGGGCGGTTAGGTTTACCCATTGCAGATATATTTCTGGTGTTTTATCAGCTCATCAATCAAAATAAGTCTCACCACAGTGCTGGTGTGACAAAAATGGCTTCTGGTTTTGTGCCTTCTCAGTAGGTTACCATGAAAAACCCAGAATAAACAAGGTGAAACATTTATAGACTCAAAACATTTCGTATTTTAATTGGTTAAAAGTAATTAGAATAGGGTCTGATGATAAAAAAAAAAAGTAGTATTATTTAACTGAATTTTTTTGACAAGAACCAAATTCAGTGCACAGTGTGAAAGATTGTGTGGTTACAGTGGTGGAATGTAACTAAGTACATTCAAAGTATTTGCACCTTTACTTTATGCAACCTTGTACTGTTACTCCACCACATCTAGGAGACAAATATTTTACTTTTACTGCATTACATTTTCTGACAGCTAAAGTTACATTTCAGATCACAGTTTTTCATCCTCTTCCTGTCCACTGAAATCCACGCATCTCCAGATGTGCTGATTTTGAATGTTTGTGATAAACTGAAGGACAAAGTGTTTCTTCACATGTTGAGAAAACTCTCCTGCTTCTTAAGCTAAATAAACTCCTTTAAGCCCTCCTGGATCAGCTGGAAAATGCATCGTCATGACGCTGAGAACAGGGCTGTTTTTCTGACACCATGAAAAGTTGACTTTTTAGAGATATGTGAAATGCAACACATGCATTAGTGCATCAATATTAATCCAAAAACATCAGATAGAATAGTAAAATATGACTGCACAATGAGTACCTCTTCTTAAAGTACTTCAAAGAAGGCTACAAGTGCTGATAACACTTCTACATATGTCAGGTTCTGAATGCAGTACTTCTACTTAGAGTGGAGTATTAGTATTTTTACTGAGGTGGAGGATCTGTATATGTCTTCCACCACTGTGTGGCTGTGACGCCAGACTCAAGATGCATGTTTGGTTAAACTGAAGCTGTGCCTCTTTCACACACTTTCCTTTTACAACATCCCTCTTAAAAAAGCACATCCTCTCCCACCAGAGACATGTGAGCGATAGCTATCTGTGACAAGGCTCACAGACACCTCCCTCGCACAGTCTTCTTCAAAAACCATTTTTATGAGAGCGTCGCGGCAGCATGACTTAATCAAAACCTCGCGGGAACCGAAGCGATGTCTGGACCATCTGATATGATGGACTGGCGCTCTCAGACGAGGCTGAAGCTGATGCTGCTGAACGTGTTTCTGCTTGTGTCTACCTACACTGTCTGCCTGCACGGAAATCCTACCACAGGTTACTTCCCTGCTTTTTTTTTTTTTCCAACATGAAAGAAAATCATGATGATTGCTTGGATTGTGCGTTGAAGCTTTTGTGCTCTAGACATAAAACAGCATGCATGCTTAAAGTTAGAATAAAGGGCTCAGAGACTTTGTTGGTTTACTGACTCTGGTGATGAGGACCTCAGCCACGGTCTGTTTGACCTTTGACCCTTCAAGGAAAACTCTGCTAAGCTTTCTTATCATAAAG